CTAGTAACCTGAGTATTTAGTGGACGTTGGGATATAATGGGCCAATTTCCACAGATGATTAATTATTTTCACAAACCAAATGTAATGAATGTTCAGATATACTTGGCTTTCAGAAAAATCAGGACTTTTCCTCATAAACTATGGTAATTAGCTATATGAAAAACTCCCTATAATTAAGGGATAAATTGCTGGCGTAAAAATAAAGAATGCTGGTATGCTATAATTACACTGCAGCTTATAGTTTGTCAAACATGTACTTTGAACATAAAAGGTTATATAAGTACATAATTTCTAAACGAAACCCTTTGCCTTCTCCATACAAAAGTGACAACCAGAAAATGACAGCTTGGCATAATAATGCTAAAACTCTTGGTCATGCTTGCAGACCAAACTTTCACACCAGGCTCCCTTACGTTTTTCAGAGGGCCAGCTTTAAGGTCTAATGCCACTCTCCAACTATCAATTATTAAGATCAAAGTACTGGGAAGAATTTTGCATTTACTTGTTTACCAATATGAGCCATGATTAATGCAATAAGGTGAGTATTCGCTTAGTGATGTTCACAGGCTCTTGGAAACCAAGTTTAAGTAGAATGAAGTATAATGAAACCAATTTGACCATAGGCTAATTGATATAAGCAGGAATTAAGTTTCTATGGCATATTTCTGGTCACAAAGACATCACCAAACTTCTAAATAAAGACCAAAATGGTTCTAATATAAAACACTGGAATAAATGTGATTATACATACATACATTTAAGAAAGATTAATAGAAACAAGCATGATAATTATCTGCCCAATTATTTTGGTTCAGGGTAGCATGTGGCCAGAACCTAGCATAGCAGCTCAGGGCTAAGGCAGTAACCAGCCCTGGACAGGATGCCATCCCACAGCAGGTGCACTAACACACACACATCACATTCACCCACACTGGGACCATTTAAGCATGCTACTTCACCTAATAGGTAGTCTTTGGGAGGTGGGAGGAAAACAGGGTAGAAAAGCCAAGCAGACATGGGGAGAATGTGCAAACTCCAGACAGCAGTCCTAGCTAGAGTGTATGTGTGTGTGTGTGTGTGTGTGTGTGTGTGTGTGTGTGTTTGTGTGTTTGTTTTTTCTCATCGGTGTTAGAAAGAAATGATATTGAATGAAATGATGTCATTCGAAGACCTGCTGTGTATTTATCCCAAATGCTCCTTATCACACACACAAAGAGAAAGCTTTCCTCCCTTTCTGCCTGATGAACACAAATACATGTCCTCTCAGCAGCACGGTTCCAAAGGCATGCCTGAGATGTATTCTCAGCACCTGGCCTTGTGATCATCCCATGCTCTGTGAGTGCAGGGGGCAGAACTTGCACTGTGCAGACAGCATCCTGCCTGGGAACAGGAATACAAAGATGGGAGAGTAAAGCTGGAGCTCAGCAGGGTGTGGTGCCAATGTACTATAATGAGTAAGGGGAGAACCGAATCAGATTCAAACCATTTTTATTTCCTACCTACCGGAGTGAAAACAGAGCGCATAAATTTGTTATGAACCAAAAAATTAATGAAAGAAACATGCCACTTAACCTAATATGTACATGAATACATATATTAACGAATACTCATCTCTAACAATTTATACATGAATAGAATATTTTTGCTTTTACTATCAAATATTTCAAAGCTCCCTATAAATAAAAATGAACTAGCATAACATTGACAAGAACCTTTTAAATAATTTAATAGATATAATGATGTAATGATATATATGAATATTTGGCAATGCTAGAAAGCTACCAAAGAACATTCATGCAAATAAATGTTAAAAGGTAGAAGGCAGTGATTACTACTGAAGTTAATTTCAGACGTATACAAAATGAAAAGGTTGTAATAGTTACCCTGACCATATTATTCAAAATATGTCTAAGATCTCTTCCTATATTTCACAACCCTTATTTTTTAGAGATGGGGTCAGAGATGAGGTCTCTATCTGTTGCCCAGGCTGGAGGACAGTGGTGTGATCATAGCTCACTGCAGCCTTGAACGCCTGGGCTCAAGCAGTTATCCTATCTCAGTCTCCTGAGTCTCTAGGACTACAGGCACATGCCACCACACCTGGCTAATTTTTATTTTTAATTTTTTTTTTTTTTGTAGAAATGGAGTCTCGCTATTGTTACAGCCCAGGGTGGTCTCGAATTCCTGACCTTAAGGGATCCTTCCCCCTTAGCCTCCCAAAGCACTGGCATTACAAGCATGAAACATTATCCCTGGGCTAAATTCTACTGTTTTTAATCTTTATTTAGTAAGTTAAACAAGATCTAATTCTGTACAGATTATTCAGCTTTTAAACACATTTTCTTACATAGGTATGTGTCTCAAAACGTTACATTGTATATTTTTTCTCAGCTGTTTATCAATGATCTGGACTTTTGCAAATTACTTAACCAGTTGGAAGTTCGTTTTCTTAACTGTAAAATGGGAATATGCATTGTAATAGGATATCAGCTAAGTCACTATAGAAAAGAAATTAGAACAATTTAATGGCTGAGAGGAGAAAGTAGTTCACTTCTTTCTCAGAACCATCTAGGCTGGGTGAAATCTGTTCCATAAGCTCATCCAGGGACCCAGGTTAGCAGGATAGATTGATCATCTTACAAAGGGATTTCCGAGGTTGCTCCAGTCATACCTTTTTCATTTGGTGAGAAAGGGTAGAGAATGTCCAGGGCAAGAGTCTTCAAAGAGATAAATCAGAGGTTGAACTCATTCCTTCTGCTCACATTCCATTTGTCTAAACTTGGTCTCATGGTTACACCTAACTGCAAGGGAAGCTGGGAAACATAGATTGTAGCTGGGCAGTCATGAATATAGCTAAAATTAGGGGATTCAATTATTAAAAGGAAGAAGGGGAGAAGGAATACTGAGTATTAGCAGTTCTTACCATTTTAATGAGGATCGTGTTTAAAAATTGCTGTGAGTACTGAAATTGTATTTGTAGAGCATAGAAGTATTTTGTGGGATTTATATAAACCATCAGCACAGGACTTGACACATACTGATGATCATTAAATGGTAGTCATTATTAGTGTTAGTATATTATTATTATTAAATACTTCTATCCTTACCTGAATGCTTGAATTCTCTCCAAAGTATCATGGGCAAGTAATTATTTAGCTATTCTGGAATTCCTATAGTAAAAGGAAATTTTATCTCTCTTAAGGCAGCCATTTCATTTTCAGAGTTTTTTCTTCTTTCTAGCCATTATTTATCTTCTTACACTCACTTTGCTTTGTCCTAATTGTGATCTCAGACACCCTCCAGAACAAATCTCACCCCTCTGTCATACAAGAGTCCTTCAGATTCTTATGGGAAGCTATTGCTTCTTTCATGAGTTTTCTTTAAGCACTTTTTTTTGTTCCTCCAACAGTCCCTCATAATCCATGATGTTGAGTACATCCCAAAGAAATTCATTCACTCATTTAACAAATATTTATTGAGTATCAACTATTTTATCAATGCCCACTTTAAAACTGCGTTGTCAAGATCAGTACACACTATTCAAAGTTGGTCTGACCAGAGCCTAGCAGTGCACACCATCAACCCCCTCATTCAGGGTATCTTTTTCCCCAAGTGGGCCTTAAGACCATTTAACTCTTTTGGTAGTCCTATCATACTGTTGACACATGTTGACTTGGTGCCTGTTACACCCCAAGCCTTTTTCATTTGTGCAATTAACCTAGATGTACCCTACTTTACACATGAAGTTTTAAAAAAAAATCCAAATACGAAATGTTTCCTTTATTTCTAGTTAAATATGAATTGCATCTCATTGCAGTCACTGAAGAATTTTTATTCTTTTGTTGAATATGTTAATTATCTTTCACAGATACACACAATCTGAACACCTGATTAGTGTGTAACTGACTCTTCAGCTAAGATACTGATCAAAGTGGAAGTGAACAGGACTGAAGAGAAGCCACTAGTATACCTCAGAGCAATCATTTCACTAGTTACAAATGCACATAACTGCACCAACATTTAGGAAATATTATCCTATGTGGTTCTTCCAAAAGTCTCAAGAAAAGTTTTTGTCAAATACTTGGTTTCTGTGCTCACTGCCATGCCCAATGAGGCCTTGGCCGACCAGGCCAAGTGCTACTATCTGGCTGCATTCAGCCCAATGGAGTCTCAGAATCTCCCTCATTAGAAGAGCATGACTGGTGTTTTCCTGATGTCAGACCTTTGTGCACTGAGATTCAACAAATCTTTATTGAATTGTGAATGTGGGCCAGGCATTGTGCTGAGCACTTTCTCCTATAAATGGAACATGGAAGATACGGAATATATTTTGTAAAAAATGCAATATATCCTCAAGGAAAACTATTTTATTTTTCCTATGTGTGAGACCAGTACACAATGTTCCTTATTTAGAAACTACGGCAAAGTACTAAATAGATTTCACATACAAGTACTCCTCACCTTTTAGCATGAGGAAGACAAACACATATTTTATTTTTTGATATAGTCTCACTCTGTTGCCTAAGCTGGACTGCAGTGGCATGATCTTGGCTCATTGCAACCTTTGCTTCCCAGGTTCAAGTGATTCTGGTGCCTCAGCCTCCCAAGTAGCTGGGACTACAGGTGCCTGCCACCACGCCCAGCTAATTTTTGTATTTTTTTGGTAGAGATGAGGTTTCTCCACGTTGGCCAGGCCGGTCTTGAACTCCTAGTCTCAAGTGATCTGTCCGCCTTGGCCTCCCAAAGAGCTGGGATTGATTACAGGCCAGGTGTGAGCCACTATGACCAGCCTACAGATTTTTTAAATGTGATATATATTTTTCTATTATTATCTCTTTAGTAACTAAATTCTTGCTAAATATCACATTACACTCTGAGGCTAAGTAAATCAACATAAACTGTGTGGACATGCTCCAGATATACATACAGGAATGATGATTCATTTGCTCTAGATATTATAGTTTCGAATTTAAATTGTGAATCACCTGTACAGATGTTACCTTTTCCAAAGGACTTTCTACTCGAGGAATGCTGATTGTTGGCATCTGTGCCAGATTATCCATGTGTATATGCTCATTTTCTGCTTGTCTTCCTTTGAAATTATTTACCACGCACACAACCTACAATTTCAGAAAACAATTACAGTTAAAGCAAACTGTGCTCACTGTGACTTTCACCCTTTTGAGGAGCTTAATAAATCTAAACATCTAAGAAAGTATTAAAGTTACTTAAATGTTACATGCATATGAATTTATACCGATTTATCATATACATTTATTGTAAAGTTTATTGTATAAATTTTAATAGCTGCTCCAATGTTTAAGAAAACTCACAGTTAATATGTAGCTCACTCAATTATGACAATTTTACTATTCAAAAATTTTCATTAAAGTATAGTCAATGCTCAAATCGATCATAACACTAACCTTATAAAAACTCATAGCAAGCTAACCTTTTCCTAATATGGCTAACCTACAACTTAATTTAAATGCTAATTATTTTTCATTGCTTCAGTATCATTATATTCATAATAAACCTTTTACAATTGGCACTCTCTAATTTAGCAGCATCCCTTAATTAACCTAGTTTGTCGTCTATTATTGTGTCCCATATATACCTGGCATACCAACAATAGCTTACTGGGGCTACCACTGAAATAGAAAACCCTCTACATAAAGAAAATTGACCCTTGTTTCAATGGATTATATCTCACAGGTGACAGAATTTGCACTAAACCAGAGGTTCTCATACTGAATGTGCATAAAAATACATTTTTGGCATTGTTAAAGATGCATACTCTGAAGCCCTCCTCTAAAGATTCTGATTTAGTAAATGAAGAATGGGGCCTAGGAGTTGGCACTTCAAAAATACATTCAAGAAGCTTCTAATGCAGGTGAATCATATTTAAGAAATAATGAATTAAACATACCTGGAAAATTATTTGCTACTATTTGCTTATACAATAAACAAGGTATTCTTGGGAAAGGTATTCTTGAGTTTTATTTTCTGTGCTTCATATTCTATTACAAATCAAAATACAGGACTTACTTGCAGCTATAACCTAACGTTCATTTTGTAACGTAAGTACTTAATATATAATTATACATTTACGTTTCATATTTTCAGAAATGTTACACTGAAAAGCCTTTTCTTTAGTAGAATTCATTACTGAATATCTTCAAAGGCCAATTAGATCTTGGTTGCTTTCCAGTTTTTAAATAAAATTTACAAATCCATAAAATAATAACGTGTACTGAGACTTTATGTCAGAAAAATACTTCTTTGCAAACTGTTATAGACTTCTTATCCTTCCACTTCCCAGAAGAACTACAGATTAGAAACATAGATCAAAGCCTGGTAATTTAGGCCGG